ACAGTAAATATAATGAAGGAGTTTTGAAGTAGTTGAAAACACCCTGAAAAACTATTTACATCTAATTTCACCTCATCTGGCCTCGGTATCCATAATCCTTTGAAAAGTTTCCTTCCAATTTCTTTTTTTATATACAATTCATTCTTACAGCGCATTTTTATGGCTCATTTTCTTATCCTTTTATTCAGTATGGTCCCATTCCTGCAACAAATGCCATCTGAATAGACCCCTATGCATACATACATTGCATACCTGTCTGCATGACTGGGATAATAGTGAGTAGAAAGTTAAGAAAACAGTCATTAAAATGGATGTGTCAAGTTTAATTCTTCTATTCCGTATTTTTTGACACACTGCATTTTATGTGGAAGACCAAGATATCAAGATATATCTATTTGTGTCCCAGTACTGTTCCTTTAAAAAACAAACATGCATCAAGGGCGCGAACTGAAGCACACAAAAGTCAAGAAATGATAATATCAAAGTTGTCTGTTCAACCTTAACTGAGCCTGTGTTTACACTGTACAATAACGTTTTTAGTTTATTTTTTTAATGCAGGATCCCTGCCTCATTCATTGCCCACATGACACAGTAAATGAGACAGTTGTCCTTAGCACCTGTTTCACCCATTGCCAGGGCCATAGAACGAATGAGTCAGAGATTCTGGAAGAGGGAAAAATGGTCCTGTTAAAGCACAGACCTGGGACACAGTAGATCTGAGTTTTATTCCTGCCTGGACTTTCTGTCTGACTTGACAAAATCAAAATCTGTGTGTCAATTCTTCCTCTGTAAAATGGAGGTAATACTTCCCCTGCTTCACAGCAGGATGCGACGACAACAAGTTGATTAATGTTTGTGAGGTGCTCCAAAACTACAGTGATGGGAGTCCTAGAAGTACCCACATCGACAGAAGACTGAACAAGCAACTTTTACTTCAACCTATCCTGACCTGAGCACTTAACTTTATAACTAACATTTTTAATGGAGGTTTTTGTATATATTGTACATACAGTACATGGCATAAGATGATATCTTTAATCTTCCACAACAACGCAACTAAGATATTATATATTAAGATCTAACCTGAACATGTATCAAGATAACTGAGTCACTTAAACACAGCTAGAATTCCAGACTGGCATCATCCCAGTATAAATACACAAAGGAAAAAGACTTAAAAAATATCGTATGCTCCTATCTACTACCGACACAATCAGAGCAGAGTAATTGCTGGCCTATCACATTGGCTTTGTCACTCCTATATGTTCTCATTGTCTTCCTCATACATCCATATCTACCTACTAATACTGAACCTAGCGGTAATCTAAACAAAAAGAACTCTCTACAATGGTTGTAGCTGCTTCCATCATTTCACACTGACTCAGACATACAGTCTAGGCTTCAGAGTGATGTTTGGGTACACTGTGTGTTCTTGTTGTGTGTGGATTTGTGAGCATGGCTAATGAAGTGTGTGGGCTGTAGTGAGGGGCTGTGTCTTTGGGCTTATTGTTCTCCCTCAGAGTAGCAGGGTTGAGAGGCGGCCTAGCTATTCCACGTTCCCTTTACTTACTGGATTTTGTGATTGTGAGAAAGACAAGATCAAACACTCTTCCAAATACCTGCATCAATGGGAAGACAAGATAGATAACATAGGCCTCCAGAAACTCTTCTGTCAGGAGAGTGGGCAAGGTGATCAGAGAACCTCTCCCCTTAAACACCTGTTGATTTTGGGGAGTGGGGAAGGACAGCAGTTGATGGGCACAACACAGAAAAAGATACAGCTGCCCAGAAGGGGTGGGGGTGGTCTGGGAGAACTTTAGCCAAACTCTGATCCCTCTGGCTGCAGGTATGCCTCTCCAGTTTTTTCAAAAGAAGAGGCTATGTATGCCCTCTCCCTCTCTCTATCAAAGGTGTGTTAGGTTGCCCCTTCTTGCGGCCATTAAGAATATATTTTAGATGCTACAACACTGCGTGAGGCTTGTTCCTGTTTTAGGAGTAAGGCACTCTAAAGCTCCCCAAACCTCCACTAAAAATATTTTTTTAGTTACTCATATTTGAGAATTACTGGCCTTCACTAGTTTTTCTGAAGAACTGAGGGTCAGAGAAAGTACAAAAGTCTTTCTTATCCATAGTTCATGTATTTTATTTGGCTGTTATCACATCAGAGAACAGCAGCATATGTTGAAGTCCCAGATTGCTAGCACCAAGAACAAGCATTAAGGTGATCAGAACAGATAAACATTGTTTGGCCACAAGCATGACAGCCATTTCATTTTGGCACCTCCTCCGCAGCAATTTGCAGGCTGCACATCTAAACCAAACTTTGATAAGCACCTGTATTCTATTGTGTTGGTTCTCAAGCTGCAGTCTGTCCCCCAATCTCTTGGAGAGGCTCTCTTAGTAATAGGAAGCATGAAAATTTAGAATCAGATGTTGGAAGTGAAGAGGCTTTGTGAGAGGATGTGTTTCTTATAAAGTATCTACAAATGTGAGAACCACAGCTCCAGTTAACATGTCATATCAACCTGTGAGTGGGCACAAATGTCCTAACATATGGACCTGAGTGTAAACTGTCAAGCCCATTCTCGTGTATCAACTTCGGTTGGGAAGGACAATATTAATGGTCAAGAATATTGACAAAGTAGTCCATGAAGTAACATTCCACTCCTGTGGGTAATGGGAAATGTTATAGATCATTCAGATCAAAATTTAAAAAAAATCAAATAGCTTCCACACCAAAGCAAGCATATGAAACTAGTGGCTCTTCACCTTCTTGTAAGGCCTTTGCTTAAGGTTTCCAAAAAAACCAGATTTTGGTGGACAGCTTCATATGAGTGAATAAATTAAAGGAAAAAAGGGGGAGAGAAAGATTACTTCATTAGCAGAAAATTCACATACCATTTCTGTTCAATGGGTCCCTCTCCGATTACTTTAGCAGCTTAGCAATTATTATAAAGCTTCCCACTCAGTTTAACATGACACCTAGGTTGTTCACTCAATCAGAACCCTGTTCCTACAGCCAAGTCAGCCTGATATTATATATTTTAAACACACATTAATTCCCCTCCCCCCCCCATTGGAATAGATTTTGATCAGAATAGGACTCTTCAGATGAGTTTGTTTATTTGTAGCAACAGTATCATTATTACTTAAACAGGCAAAGCACAGAGATTTGTGGTTACGCTGGCCTTTAGATCACCATCCCACAGATTCCCTAGGCTCCTGTAGTTGAGAGCCAAATGAAAACTGATTTACGTGAAAGTACAATTTATGTAATCATCACCTTGGTAACTATTTTCCTGTTACAATTTAGAGCTCTGTCAACAAAGTCATTCAAGCCATTTCATAAAATGTTGTGCTCATTCTGTGAAGAGTCTGGCATGATTTTTTTTCAACTGGATAGTGAGCCTGGTTTTGAAATTTACCTTTTCCCCTTGATACGAAACTAGAGATCACTCATGGTTCCAAGGGATGTAGGCTCATGATACAAACTTTGCTAACAGGTTGAACTAGACATTTTAAGAACAAAACATGCACATTCAAAAAAATATTGACGTTTATAAACAATCCTTCAGTCTCAAAAAGGCAGTGACTTTCCATCAGCTGAAAAGTGTAAATGCAACATACACACCACATGCACAATTTGCCGTGCACAGTAGAATTCTATAAAACCCCACAAGATTTTCAGAGACTAAAAAAATTTCACCTCAGTGATGCAACAATTTTCGGACAACTCTATGTGCCAGTACATAACTCATAGTAACCGGGCATGTAGGCATGTATATTGCAATTTTAGCATGAACTACAGACTGTGGATGTATATCACAACCTCAGCAACAAATACAAAACACTAACTCAGAGAAGTTACATTAAATAGGTCACGTGAAATTCATTTTAATATATGTTAAAGTGAACTAATATCCCTCCTGCTTTTTTCTATGCAGTTAAATAATTTTATTAGCATATTTTTTAGATTAGGTTTTTGTAGTTATGTATTTTATATGAATAAATTTCTCAGTTAAGTAACAAGATTTCCTTCCATTAAAATAAATTTCCAATATAACATGCAGCTGAATTAGGTTGCATATCATTTTCTCCATTAACAATGGCGCTCTAAGACATATTAGGTCAGCCAGAAGTTTATATACTACGTACAAAAAAAAAAAAAAAAAAAAAAAAAAAAAGCCTTTCATTGCAAGTTGTTTTATAAAATCAGCTCTGGAAAATGTATATGTTCTAAGCTCCATGCGACTTCCAAAACAAAATAAATATTTATGAAAGTTCTCCCAGCAAGTTCATTTACAGGTTGGTATTTCTCTATATAGAACATCTACACCATCTTGTGGAGAAGAATGGTAAAGTAAGAAATCTCCAAAAACCTCAAACTGATACTAAGGGCTGTTTTAAAACTTATTAAAACAATACAAAATATTTACATTTCAGAATAGATAAAATTAAACTATTATAATCTGTACATTTCATAAAACATCAAAAAAATCAAGCTAACAGCAACCTCCTATCATGGCAATTTAGTGTCATAAGCATTTGTCTTTGTAGATGGGGAACGAGAGAACACAAGATTTGTATAGGATAGCTGCAGAACAAGTCTCAAGTCTTATCTTAGAAAATGACAAAAATGAATATCAGTGACAAAACTTAGATCTGATTTAAGATAAATTTTTGCATTAAGAGAAATAAAACTAACACAAAAAGTATAAGATAAACTTCTGAAAAACAGCCCTGCATAACTGAATTACCAGTATCTTAATAACTACAGCAACATTTTAAACAGTAAATGTTTTAAAAAGGTACTGCAATGTCAAAACTCCCAACCTTTCACAATAAACCTTCTAGATTTGTTTTAGATGAAAAAGCTTCCAAATAAATTCAATATATAAAATAAGATTTTGATTAAGGGGACTGACACGGTTACTAAATTTAAGAGTAAACTGAGAATGCAACTGTACTTTCAATAGTAAAAATGAAGTTTATTCTCTTACCAGTACATCATGCACTAATGCCTGGTATGTCCAAGTATGGTGTAGAGGAGTTGCTAAATCTATGTTTCTGTCAACAAGGACTAACAAAGGCCTTTGGAAGCTGTAAATAAAAGACATTTTGTCACTAACTCTTTATACATATTTGGAAGAGTCTCTCAGTCTCTTCAGAAATATCAGAGATATTCTTCTGAGTTTTTCTGTACTGCCAGTCTCTTTAAAATCAGTGATACTCAGACCTCAGTGGTTCAGGAGCCAAATTAGCTATCAATAATACCCAAAAGAGCAACAGAATTGTGAATTCATTGTTTCATTTATTATGGTACTATATATTCATATTTAAACAATAGTAAAAGCATCCTGACTGGTTAATACTTTAGACTGGTTAATAATGAAATCACACAGTGTTTTAATATCACGTGCTGCAGGAGACACATTAAAGAGCCACTTGCGACTCGGGAGCCTGAGTCTGAATATCACTGCTTTAAATATTATTCTGCAAATTGTATGTACTACCATGCTGAATTTACAACTTTAGGGAGTTAGGCTTAGGACATAATTAACCGACAGAATTCACAAAGATAAGATTGAGACCAAGAAATCAATATTAAAAAAAAAAAAAAAAAAGACATAAAGTTACATTAATATTCTCATCATCCATATAAAAGCCCAAAGACATATAAACCTTCATATTTCAGGGCAAAAGCCAAATCCTAATTGGCAGGTTTTAGAAAGAAGCTTCCTGTATAGGCAGATTATTCCATAAATTTTCTGTTGCAGAGTTTGTTTCACCTTCCTCTGAAGCATGTTGGGGCTGGCCACTGCCAAAAATGGGAAACTGATTAGATAGACCATGGGTCTGATGTGATAAGGCAACTCTCATGCTCTGTAATAACTAAAGAGCTACCACACACAATTGTTAAATCCAAGTCAAATAACCAGCACTGACCAGCCTTCTTAGTTAATCACTTAACTAAGTTACACAGATTGATGACTGATTATTGAATAGAGACTGTATTGGTATTGATGGGTGACAATCACCTTCTAGCAACAGACAATAATAAAATATTCAGGATGATTACATTAGATCTGTCAGCAGCTTTTGAAACTATTGACTTGTCCGCAGAAAGTGGTGAGGTGGATGGATGAAATAGCTTGAGTAGCTTTGGTTCATCTGAAAAAGATTCTAGTAGTAGTATCGGATCACTGCTTGTGCCCCACACCCCAAAAGGAACCTCACATCTGCAGTCTCTCTCTCAGGGGTCCAGCACACCACCTCTCCTGTTTGATTTGTATGTGAAGCCACAAAGAGCTTATGGCTTGCATTGTCATTAACATGCTGATACTCAGCTCCTCTGTGAGTAAAATTTTCAAAAGTGCCTAAGTAGATTAGGAGCCTAAATCTCACTGAAAATCAGTGAGATTTAAACTCCTAAAAGGGCATTTCTTCCTACTTCTGAAAAGGGGACTTCAGCACTTTTTGAAAGTTTTATCCCATCTCCTTTTCACTGAACCCAAATACTATTGTTTCATTACTCTCCAAGTGTCTAAAGACTAAGCTACAAACTCTGCCACGTCACTGTTTACCCTTTTCCCATCTCATTTATGAATATTTCCCCCACGTTAAAATGAACGGCCAGATCCTGCACAAATGTGTGTGCTGTATAAGCCAGTGCTTAGTGGATTTGCAAGCCACATACAAGTGAACAGGCTTCTGCAAGGGCATAGCTTATATCACAATGTGCTCCAGCTTATCCCCTACATATCATGTCATTGTTTCCCAGCACATAAAAAGTTACAGTGTGTGTATTGTGACTAGATTAACAGATCAGTAATTCACATGCTTGTCAACAATGTAAGTGGTGTGACAACCATCATCAAACAAAAGCAGTTAATACAACTGCTTTATTAGGGACAGGAGAATGAGGAGCCAGCGCCGACAGGTCGAAGTAGACCAGTGGACCCAGAGCAGTGTGCCACTACAAGCAATAAGAGTACCTAATTGAAAGTTTTAGCCCACAAAGGCTTATGCCCAAATAAATTTATTAGTCTCTAAGGTGCCACAAGGACTCCTCATTATTTTTGCTGATACAGACTAACACAGCTACCACTCTGAAAACTGAAAGACAGTTATTGTTCTGTTAGTAAGAGGTGTCTTATGTCCGTGAAAGGCAATGCAAGATGCTGTCTCACCAGGCCAATGATACATACAGTATCAGGGCACCAAACAGAAGCAGCCTCACCACAGAGTCCCAGGTCATAGGGATAAACAGACATGGAAAGTGGTCATCCACACAGTCCCACAGGGGTCGATCAACAGTAGTGGAAGAGAACAGTAGTTGCCAAATCCCCTCATCCCTGCCTCCAAAGAACGTAAATTCAAGTTGTTGGTAATGATCTTTAAAGCCTTTAATAATCCTGGACTGGGTATTAGAGAGACCGTTTCGCTCCATATCTGCCTTGTGGCAATTAGGATCAGCTGGGAAGAACTTGCTGTTGGTCTGTGAGGCTGAAATAACCAAGACCAATGGCAGAACTCTCTGGGAGAATTAGTCTGCCTTTTTTATTACTGACTAAATAAAAGTAAGGTTATGAATATTTCTGAAAGCAACATGCCACTCATTCTCATTCTGTAAGTTGATATACAGTAACTCCTCACTTAACGTTGTAGTTACGTTCCTGAAAAATGTGACTAAGTGAAATGATGTTAAGCGAATCCAATTTCCCCATAAGAATGAATGTAAATGGTGGGGCTAGGTTACATGGAAATTTTTTTTTGCCATACAGTACAGTACTATAGTTGGGAGGTGCCCCGCTTACCCACACAGGCACAGCCCACTGGCACTGGAGACAATGAGGGAGACAAGGAGGCTGAAGGTGCTGTAGGCTAGGAGAAACATGTTGCACACAGGGCCGGGTCCAGGCACCAGCCGAGCAAGCTCGTGCTTGGGGCGGCAGATCCCAAAGGGCGGCATTCCATCTAATCCTTTTTTTTTTTTTTTTTGGGGGGGGGGGGCGCTTTACCGCTTTGGCCACCCCTGCAGGTTTTTTCTTTTTGGTTTGCTGCTCCCGCTGGCGGAGGAGGGGAGCGCCCTCCATCAAGCCCGGCAGGGCAGCCCGCGTCCTTCCCTGCCTGCCGACGGGAGTAGCGCGGAGCCCTCCTGGCAGGCGGTGCAGC